TTGCCTGTGATGTGTTAAAAGACAAGTGGCTCAGAGGTGGACAGACAAGTCAGAGCAGTCTGTTCACATTTCCCATTTGTGTGAGGTCAAAGGATTTATAGCTATGAGCTAAAACATGCTAAACACTCAACACTGCACTTTATTTTTGCAATGATTTGGTTAGTGTTCTTGGCACTAAGCATACACATGATTTTCACTTAACATCCTATGAATCATGTCTATCATGAGGCCAAAAGCTAAATGCCAAATAGCCTTATTATAGCATTTCAGCAACAGCAACTTTTTTGATGCATTATTTTTCATATTAGTGAAGACAAATAATTCCATCCTTTGGATGAGACATAAACCGAGGTCCTGAGTCTGTGGTCATTAGAAATACCAGGGCGTTTGTTGGAAAGAGTAAAGCTGTTACCCTGGCATACTGGCCAAATTTCATAGTGGCCTTTACCAATCATGGCCTCCTAATAATCTGCATTTATCAGTTGGGTTCATCACTGTTCTCCTCCCCACTGATAGCTGATGTGTGGTGAGCGTTCTGGCGCACTAAGGCTGCCATCGCATCATCCAGGTGGATGCTGCACATTGGTGGTGGTGGAGGGGAGTCCCCATTACCTGTAAAGCGCTTTGAGTGGAGAGTCCAAAAAAGCACTATATAAGTTTAAAGAATAACAGTATAAATTTCTGTATAACCAATTCTTATATATGCATTCTTTTCTACTAACGTGCAGTCTGTGACATCTTTACTGCTGAAATGAAATGCTTTACTATAGTAAATGACAAGACAATACTTGCTTATGCTAAAAGATTGGAAGTAATTTGCAGTTTTAATATATTTTGAATTGGTGTATTTAGAAATTCTAGCTAAAAGCCAGTTAAAAGGCAAGAAGCCAATTAAAACAGACAGCTGTTTTCTTTGTGATTTCCCTCTCAAAAAACAATGAATAGCACTACAACTGGAAATCAACAATTTTCAACTTCAACAACGAAAACAAGAACAACTCAGCAACTTCTGTTGTAGGACTTGGTACATTTTCATTGAATAACAGTCGTCAAGATAAATAAACGTGCTATTGCAAAATGAACAGAGAGACAATACTGCTGTTAAATTTACTAAAGACACCTCATCTTGGTATCTTGCTAATTTTTAAAACATGTTCATGTATGTATCATGTATGATTCATGTTCTTAAAACTCTTAAAATTAAATTTTAGACACATTAAACAGTTCATGAATATGTAACATTTGCACAGTAGTTTCTTATCTTTGTTAACCTCTGCCTGATTTTGACTTTGCCAAGTGATCTTTTTAAAAGACAGTGTTTAATGTTTTTTGAAGTTGTACTATGTTATTTATTTTCAAGATCACATAAGCAGGATCAGTAAAGAAATAGTTGAAAAGTAACACAATGTCTAACAAATCATTTTAGCTTTTTCAGTTTGTCCCCCCAAAGCAACTTCAGCACTACAAGACTGTACAAAAAAACAGATCACAATCCCTTTTCTGTGCAGGGGCTTGTAGATGAAAGCTAGATGCCACAGTAGTGATAGAGAAGGGAGCTGTTTAGTAACTACTCGCATTGAAATCAATCAGATGTTGTACTCTATATTTTAGAGAAATTTTGTGGTCACCTCAAATGACAGAAAAAATCTTGTTTGCTCTTTAAAAGCATTCCATTTTGTGGTAGTCACAAGGCAACATCATGTCCGTAGCATAACTGCATCCCAGCAGAGAAACAGGCTGCCTTCTGTGCTTTTAAAGCCTTTTTGTTAAGCTCCCTGTGGTATGATTGTATGAATTGGTTTACTTTCTAGAGAAACACACCTCAGTACTGAGGCCTTTTCTTTTCGGAAACTTGTCTGCACACTTGCTGCCCTGAGTTTTTTTTTTTTGGCTTCTGGTAAATAAATGAGTCTTCTGTGACTGCTGGTGAGTAATGGCCGTCCGAGCCAGCACTAATAAGTGCTTCTTGTGTTGCGACTGGGTGAAAAAGTGGTGCTGTGACTTTGGGAGGGAGGGAAAGAGAGGCTGGCGGGTGGGTACTGAAAACGCCACATCATCACTTCATCTCTGGCACAGTGGCTGCATTGTCTGAGCAGCTCTTTTGCCCTTGCACAGAGCACGTTCCACACCTTACCCTTCCCTTTCTTCAGCTCAGTGGTGTATCATTCTGCTTTGCCTATGAATGAGGCGTTCCAGTGCCACCGCTGACAGATCAGATTATTGACCACTGTATGGTGGAGTGGAAAGATTCTGCTGCCACTTAAATCTGTTCTTATTTATTTTTGGAGTAAAATAAAGTGATTCGTGACTTTCTTTTCATTTGTTCAAAGTTAGTTTTCCTCTTTCGTAGATCACGTTGCAGTAACCCATTGTAATCCTCCAGGTGCTGCTTCACAGACATGCGCCCTGCAATAAAAGGGCAAAGCCCAGCTGGTGAACACAGGTGACAGGAGCATTTGTGCCCAGGAGGGTACTGACCCAGCCCTCACGAATAACAAATATACTTATGCAGAATGAAAAAAGAGGGATTACTGCTGTTCATTTTATTTTACTTTAATTGTAATAGTATTTATGTATTATTTTTCTTTCTGAAGCGCTTTACCTGTAACTTCACCAAACATACCACTTTGTTGAAGTGCGGCGCCTGTCTGGGGGATGTGTGGCAGTTATTGTGCTCCAGCTGCACCACTGAACAGACAGAAGAGTCAGTTTACCAATTTACCAATTGTATTAAGTGGGAATTTTAGGAAGGCAACGTTGTGCAAGTTCAGAGTTGAATATTATTCAACTTCTCTGTTAACACTGCTGCTCTTACAAAAAAGTGTTTCGGAATCTTTGATGACCCATTAGTCAGGACTTTAGTTGAACATGTTTTCCTTTGGATTACACCTTCTCTAGCACTGTTTTCCTGGCCACCGTTCTGGGGTGTTGGTTTGGAAAATTTGGTCCAGAAGGAAGAGCACCACCTACTGGGCCTCCTAAGGCACTTATAGGAGCAACCTGGTTTTCCCTGGAGGTCTCCCATCCCTGTACTTACCAAACCCTGCTTAGTGTCTGAGATCTGACAAGAACAGGCTAGAAGGTGGTTATACGGCTGTTTAAAAATCAAACACAGAATGAATCGTGATATTCAAAGCCTAGGCTTGCTGCAAGATTCCTCCTAAGTCTATTTTTCACTTACTGCTGCAGTCCTCTTTTTCAGCCAGTTATGTAAGAAGGGAGATTTAGCTCACAGTTGTAGAAGCCTTGATACGCTGGTCTTCCTGAGTGATTCAGCTGAGTTGGAAACGCATTGGACTGCTCAGTTTGTAGTGCAGGGGCCTGTGAAGGGGCTGTTTGCTGTAGTGTGGGACAGAGGTCAGAAGTGTGGAGCTTGCATGCCTCTGTATTTAGTTTAAATTGAGCTTTACTCAGTGCTGACGTTCTGGCACCAACCCAGGTCTATTATCTTTTTCTGGAATTCACAATGGGTGTATTTGTTAATGTGTATCAAAATTAAAGTGCCTTAACTATTCACAGGCCCCCAATGTACTGTACGTTACGCTATGAAAAGTGTTTAAAGATTATCCAGTCCCTATGTGTAGTGCAAGTTGCACTTTGGTAGAGGGGTTGATAAGAGGGTCACATGGTGAATATGCCACTAGACTTTCATATACAGTATAGATATTTCAAAATACTTTATTCATCCCCAAGGGGGCAGTTTGAAATTATACTGTAAATGTTAACATTTTTCAAGTAGATGCTTGGCTAAACATTTTTTTATAGTTTGGTACAGCTACAAGTTTTTTTAAGTAAGCTTTTAATTACCCTTTTCAAATTAATTACATTAGACAGATTCACAATGACATAATCTTTAATGCACTCAAATTAGCAGGAAAATAAAACTGTTCTCTCCTCTGTCATGACTTCCATGTTCTACAAATTCCAGTAGCAGGTCTAAAAGATATAGAGCAGCATATATAGGGAACTATATGACCATGTTGTGTTTATTTTTATCTACATGTCATGTGCGTGACACTGTAGGAGAGCATTTTGGACGCTGACAAGGGAATGACACCATCTCTGAGATGTGTGGAGGTGTTCCCTGTGTTAGGTCATCTGCCATGGCAGGAACATCATCTCATAATAAACTCATTTTCCTCCCAGGACATTTTCATAAACCACATCATTTCTAAATGCAATTTGGCACCACTGCTGTCACGTACTTAGCCTGGTAGTTGTAGTGATCCGCCCATATAATAAAGTCAAACATCAGCCAATTATGTAGCGAAATACAGTATATGCCTTGGAATGCAGAAAATAAATCATAGAGCTGTAAATATTTATTTTTGTCAGTAAAAGTGTGGAATAAGTTCTTTATTCTTGAAATATTCCTTCTCCTTACATTATGTAGAACATCATACAGCCTTCCTGTACTGTTGCTTAAGAACAAATGTTTGAACCTTAGCAAACTTGCTGGTAATTGGGGAAATTAGTTGCTAAACTACGGTATAAAGCAGTTGATTCACTTCTTTCTGTGTTTCTTTTTCTCTTTTCTTTTTTACTCCCAATGATATTTGTATCGTATGCATACCAATTTGCAGTCTCCAGTTGCTTAGGGCTTCTCTCAAGGCTACAAGTCCTGTGACACACACACAGAACGAAGCTCTCCTCCAACACATTCACTCATCAGAGCCATTCCTCTCCTGACACACTGCAAGCCCTACAGTATGTCCCAGTCTGAGGACAGCATTTTTCTCCTGATATTGCTGCAAGCCCACAGGCACCTGACAGCAGCCACCTCTTCACCCAAAGCTGAGAAGATACTGGCTTATTAATGCCCACACTCTACTGCTGAGGCTCTGACAATAGTGTGTCTGCTGCCTGGGGACTCCTGGTCACATCCAATTGGACTCAGGGTGGTGGCTGCAGGGCTCCACCTGCTCTCTGAGTCGTTTTTCTGCTCGAGCCATCGAAGTACTGTCTCACCGCCTCCTCATGTGTACTTTGCTTCTTGTAAGGATCTCCAGAGGTCAACCAACGTGGTCTACCAGGCGCACCACGTGAGCAGAAGTAAGAGAGGCCAGGTTGTGGGCACCAGGGCAGGCTTCCGAGGCTGCACTGTCTGGCTCACGGGTAAGCAGAGCGCAGCCCTTCTGAGAGCAGAGTCTGGCTTCATCTGTTCCCCTTTAATCCACCGTGAATTTGGCACTCTTCTCAGTCCACACTAGATTGTGTAGACATCCCCAGCTATGCCAAAATCCTACATTCCTAATAAGTTATTTGGATAAATTCTCTGTTATATATTCTTTTATTAAAATAATATCATTTGCATGCTTTCTTACACATGCATGTTTTACATATTTACAAATTTAAAGTGCATGTATTTATTGTAATTCTATCATGGCTTCAATCCAGTATGCCCTATTCCTTACAGGACTCTCTGGGGCTGGTAAGACAACCATTGGCTTTGCTCTGGAAGAGTATCTGGTTTCCCACGCAATTCCCTGCTACTCTCTGGACGGTGACAATATCCGCCATGGACTGAATAAGAACCTGGGCTTCACTTCAACCGACCGGGAGGAGAACATTCGCCGGATAGCCGAGGTGGCGAAGCTGTTTGCAGACGCTGGTCTCGTCTGCATCACAAGTTTCATCTCCCCCTATACCAAGGTAACACAGGATCCCAAAGGGGCCAAAAGCCCCTGTTTTCTTTAGGGAGAACTCGCATGACTTGCCGAGGCCATGGAATAAAGTCTGTGGAGCACAGATCCAGGCATTCGTCTGAAATCTGTGCTGAATGACCTCTGACCTCCTGTCTATGTCCAGGACCGGAATGAAGCCCGGAAGATTCATGAGAGCGCGGGGCTGCCTTTCTTCGAGGTGTTCATCAATGCCCCGCTAGACGTGTGCGAGAGTCGAGATGTCAAAGGACTCTATAAGAAAGCACGTGCTGGGGAGATTAAAGGTACTGTATTGAAAGTGGGGCTTTTACGAGAACCATTTTCGCCACCCGATTAACTCAATCTCTATTTAAAACTCAGGGCAAAGACGGAGCTTTTACTGGATTGCGTGGGTCAGCGTGCACAACTAGGCCAACACTCATGGTTCTGTGTTTTTTAAAAGTCAATTCGGTTAAACCCAGAGATTTATGTGTGTCTCGGCGTCAGCTGGATTCACATTTTTTTTCTTTCTGCCTTTCAGGGTTCACTGGTATTGACTCTGAATATGAGAAACCGGAGGCACCGGAGCTGGTGTTGAAGACGGGAGAGGAGTCGGTGAACGAGTGCATCCAGCAAGTGGTGGAGCTGCTGAAGGAACAGGTACTCTTGTCCTGCAAGTGTGGGAAACATGCAGGCATCCTTAGTGTCCTAAAGCATTCTTTAGCACTGTACTATATTCTTTTCAAAAGTTTGATTTTTTTTTTATAACAGGGCAAGAAGGAAGCAGAGCACAAAGAATTAGCAAGAAACTGGACTTCAGGCACATTTAATTAACATTTCAGAATAATGCTACTTTATGCTAACATATAGTGCTTATTTTCCACACAGCTGGGGTTAGTGATGTTAGAACATGTGGCTGCAGTCCATTTAGATATGTAGTTGTTTGATTTAGATGACATGGAATATCAGTTTCAGTAAATTGAAAAAATAGCCCAAACCGTTAAATAAATAATCCTTTACAGAATGCCACATTAGTCTCAATACGTACATGGTATTTTCCTGGTCATTATGTTTTCTAAAACAACAATGCAGACTCTTTAAGGATTGGTTTGTAAATCTTTCTGCAAAACTACACCTGAAACATCCTCCTGAAATGACCTTGAATAAAGTATATAGACCCCTGTAAATATCCCTCACAGAGCAGGCAAACTTTCCTCTGAGCTTGGTCAGTCCAGCAATACTTGTCATGATGCTTAGGAGAAATGTTTGTGTGTCTTTGCAGAGTATTGTTCCTTCAGCCATCTTGGAGGACGTGAATGAGCTCTTTGTGCCTGAGAACAAAATAAACTTGGTTCGGGCTGACGCCAACACGCTGCCCACCCTTGAGATCACCAAGGTACAGAACAGACTCAAAGCCTGTTGTTTTTTAGCATTTCAGCCCTACTATTATGCCATAAAAGTTTCTTACCAGCATTTTGGATACAGGTCCTTTTTACTACACTCACTTACTACACTAATTTGATTTGTATCTGTCCACTCTTTCTGGTACCATTTCCAGCATGCCGCTGGTACCTTGTGTGAGAGCAACACGTGTGAAGCTGGAGGAGTATAAAAGTGAACCAGACAGTTGCCGATATATATAATTGCACAGATGTTTCTATTTTGTTAATGATCGGATAGCTGTTCAATACGGGCTGCTCTGTTGTTTTGTTTTATTGCTGTTCAGTGTCATTCAGGACATGGTAAGTGCCTAAGTACAGGTTGATTCTACACTAAAAAGCAGGGAGAAAACAAAATAATGATTTGGCACTGAAAATTAGTGAAACCCCTTCAGGTATGTGGACCCTATACAGTGCTTGTATTTCTTATTTCTACCTTTTCCACTCTAGAATTAGTCTCCATTTGTTCGTTTGCAACCTGCACACTAACATAGTTCTCCCACTCAAACCTTATGCTAATACTTATACTTACTTTAATGTGGTTTCCTGCCACATTGGAAGAGAACTTGACTAACACTTGGAAGTGTTCCAACTGAGTGGTTGTTTAGTTAAAGAGGAACTGGAATGCAATTTTCATAATTCAGGGTAAGAAAGAAACAGCATTAATGAGTGCATTTCAAACAACAATGATAGTAAAATGTACACAGGAACTTGTAAATCCTCAAGTTTCCAGGTATGTGCAGCGCCATATTCTGCAATTCAAAACATGGTAACAAAACTTCTGGTGATGAGGTACTGCTTCATTACATAGTAAAGAAGCAGGCTTGTGAATACATTTCTTTTAATCCTTTTAATCCTTGATTTTGATGCTCAATTTTAAATGTGTAAAAACTTTCAATGAATTTATTTTGTTACCAAGATGTCATTACCGGCTTAAGAAATTGGGACTGTAGTTCCCCTTTAAGAAAGTTTTGTTGCTGATCTCTTGCAGCTGGACTTGCAGTGGGTTCAGGTGCTGGCAGAAGGCTGGGCCACTCCCTTGACAGGCTTCATGCGAGAGAGTGAGTTCCTTCAGGTGCTGCACTTTGGCACATTGCTTGATGGTGAGTGACATACTGTATCTTTAGAATATACGCACATTATTATACACAACAATGAGTATAGAAACCAATAGCGTTTGTTGTGTTTTGAATTGGCCCTTCAGTATATACATTTTTTAAAACTTTGACCAAAACCTTTGTACTTCAGTTTGCATTCTCAAAGCAACTTTTAACAAATGTATGCAATGCTTTCCTCCTCTCCTCCTGCTGCAAAACCACAATTCGCAGCTAAACCACTAACCATAATCTTCAATTTCAGCATGTAAGAAATTGCAGGAACTACAGTAGGGTCAAGAGACAGTCAGTTTCAAACTGTGGGGACTGTAAGAAGAAGCAGGTAGCCAGATTGCACAGGATGAGTATGAATACTGTGTTTCAGAGAGCTGCTAAAAGGCTGTTACCCTTGCAGGTGGCACTATCAACATGTCTGTGCCCATCGTCCTGCCTGTGTCTACGGAGAACAAAGAGAACCTGGATGGGTGTGCTGCTTTTGCCTTGGTGTACGAAGGCCGCAGGGTGGCTATTCTCCGTAACCCTGAGTTTTATGAACACAGGAAGGAAGAGCGCTGTGCCAGGCAGTGGGGCACCACTTGCACCCAGCACCCTTATATCAAGGTACTGTGGATCCTTCAGTGGAAGTGCATTTAAAACCAAGAACAGGAGGCATATACGTCTATACACAAAGGGTGGCTGGGGTGCAGAACAAGCTACCCAGCTGTGTGGTTAAGCCCTACACCCTGGTTTCTTTCAGAAAATGTTAGGATGAGATACATAGATCAATTAAGTACTAACTACCAAACAGGCCAGGGGGGCTGAATGGCCTCTTCCTGTTGTAACCTTTCCTATGTTCTTATGTCAGTCGGAGCTGTCTTGTAACAATCACTGCAATTAAAATTTTGATTTTAGGTACTGGCATAAAGAACATATTTTTCATGCTTCACGTGTATTTTAGGTCTTCCGTTTGGAATCAGAGAGTAATGCGATGTGTGCGCCAGTCTGCGGTGGAATAACGGTGCACCATGTGTTTGGGTTTTACAGATGGTCATGGAGAGTGGGGACTGGCTGGTTGGGGGTGACCTGGAAGTGCTGGAGAGAATCAAATGGAACGATGGGCTGGACCAGTTCCGACTGACCCCCCGGGAACTGAAGCACAAATTCAAGGAAATGAAAGCAGGTGAAGCGAGGAAGGAGTACAGAATTCAGGAAAATAATAAACAGGGAAATCTAAGTTGTTCACACAAAAGTCCAATGGATGGAATCCATAGCTCACTGTTTTGTTTTTCTGAGCCAGTGATCTCCTCATAAGATCAGCTAAATATGAAAAGTTCAATTTTATGTGATGAAATTTGCCATGTAGACTGCTGAGATGTATTTGGTCTTTTTACTTGATTGAATAAAATAAGAATATTATGAGGAGCAAGGTATTTTGTAAAGTCCCATTTCAACTAAAACAGCATACCAAGGATTCTTTGATCAGTTCCTTCCTACTGTATATAGTTCAAACCTATAACATTTCTGTTAGAAACTGTTTAACACTATTAAAGAAAAGAACCCCAAAAAGTTTAAATTCTGCTGAACTTCCAGGCTTGACCTCGAAGGGGATGTTCCTGTGTCCTCCTTAACACCATTCTTTGTTGTTTCTGTCAGACGCCATCTTTGCTTTCCAGCTGCGCAATCCAGTGCACAATGGGCACGCTCTGCTGATGCAGGACACCAAGCGCCGGCTTCTGGACAGGGGGTACAAGCGGCCCGTGCTGCTGCTGCACCCGCTGGGCGGCTGGACCAAGGACGACGACGTCCCGCTGGCGTGGCGCATGAAGCAGCACGCCGCCGTGCTGGAGGAGCGCGTCCTGGACCCGAACTCCACCATCGTGGCCATATTCCCCTCACCCATGCTGTACGCGGGGCCCACGGAGGTGAGTGTCTCCTCTTCCCTGGGGGCCGAGGGGGCTCGAGGCCTGACAACAACGGCGCGAAAGACTTGGGCACAAACATACTGTCAGTGGAAATCAGCTCAGATAGAAAGTTACTGTTTCCTCACCGCCTCGACATGACTAAGGCAACACTTTACTCAAGATAGGCGGCTCTAATGTTAGGGAGCCATGCCAACAGATTTGCTGGAATGAAAAATCTGAAAAGCCTGCTACTGAAATCCAAGTATCTTCGTTCTCATTGTGGTCATTTACTATAGGTTGTTTAGGCTATGTAGAAGCGTCCACTACGCTAGGGTAGCCGAGTGGTCAACATTGCTACCTCCTGAGGCTGGCGCCCTGGGTTCAGTTCAAGACCTGGGGCGCCGTCTGCATGGAGTTTGTATGTTCTCCCCGTGATCGCATGGGTTTCCTCCAGGTGGTTCAGATTCCTCGCACCGTCCAGAAGAAACATACTGCCAGCCAGGTTATTTGGCTTCTGGGAAAATTGGCCCTGGTGTGAGTGTGTGTGTCTGTGCGTCTGCCCTGCAATGGACTTGTGTCCCATTCAGGGTGCACCCTGCCTTGCTCCAGTTACTTGCCGGGATAGGCCCTGGGCCCCCTGTGACCCTGAATAGGAAGAAATGGTTAGAAAATAGAAGAATGATGGAAGTTTCCACTATGTATTAGGAACAGCTAACTTCAGTTGAACTGCACCAAATTAACCTTTGGTGCACATTTTTTTTTCCCTTTACAATTATTGTGAAGCACGCCACAAGCTTTTATCTGTTCTACCAGTTACGCAAGAAGGAAAAAACTTGCGTGACTTATAGAATACTCCATTTTTTTCCCCCAAACGTGTCACATCAGCACAGCTGGCATTCTGCCCACCTAGAAAACAAACCAGTCGCATCTTAAAAAGATGGCGAGGTAATGCATTACACAAAACGTAATCCAATACTGGTGTATTATGACTGAAAAATGCAGAGCAAGTACATTGTTTTACCAAGATTAGATCACAGATGCTATATTAAACTAGCTATAATATATTTTGAAGTACAGAATAAACTACTAAAACTGCTGACCTTTGTGTTTAAACCTGCAGACACTGTTGCCTGCCGTTTTATTTTCTGAGTGCTGCATTTTGTAGTGAATATCATGATTAAAACTGTAGCCTCTGCGTACGTGGCAAGCTCCATGTGTACGTGTATGTAGGCCCGTTAGCTTCATGAAAGAGTCCAAACCCGTTTCGGTTGCCGCCTCTGCAGGTGCAGTGGCACTGCCGGGCTCGCATGATCGCCGGAGCCAACTTCTACATCGTGGGCCGGGACCCCGCGGGGATGCCCCACCCCGAGACCAGGAAGGACCTGTACGAGCCGACGCACGGAGGCAAGGTGCTGACCATGGCGCCTGGGCTCACTTCCGTGGAGATCATCCCCTTCAGGGTGGCGGCTTACAACAAAACCAAGAAAGCGATGGACTTTTACGACCCCGAGCGGTGAGGAAGGCAGGGCAGGGCGTGGTGGCCAAACGGTCTTTTCTACATGAGTGCCTCCGTGCTGTCGGTGCTAACTCACTCCCGCCCCTGTTTCCCCAGACACAGCGAGTTTGAGTTTATCTCCGGTACCCGGATGAGGAAACTGGCGCGAGATGGAGAAAATCCCCCCGATGGCTTCATGGCTCCTAAAGCATGGAAGGTCCTGACAGAATACTACAGCTCTCAGCAGAAGGACCAGTGACAACTCACTTTGTTCAGCTCAGACCTATGACCTGGCTAGAAGACGGGTTTATTTTTTGTCATCAACCTGTAAATCTTTATTTTATTTTTTGATCAAAAAGCATAAAGACAGAACAATTTTAAAAGGGAACTGTAAAGCAGCCCAGTGATATAGATGTTTCTGTTTTATTCTGAACTTTTACTTCACTACTGCCCTTCTTCTATGCATACCTGTATATTGTAGTGACAGTTTAAATTCGTTCTAGACGGAGGAGCAGTTAAAGTCTGCTCTGTTATATTGGCCAAATGGGTCAGAAGACAAAAGAGTTTCTTCTTAAAGCCACATAGCTTATGTCAGCGTATCACATAGATTTGAATTTCTTTCTCAAACATTTGTGGTATGAATAGTTTTTTCCCCTCACATCAAAAAGCTTCACTTCTTTTGGATTCCTTGTGGCTATTGGCAACTGGTTAAAAAATATAGTACCTGGATTTTCACAAATCCAAAGCCACCAGAGATGAAATAATTTGGATTCATGATCGCGATGACCCTTTGCACTCAGAATAAAAAATGCACTTGAAAACAATATCAATATATTGTAATTCATACTCCAAATACTTGGCAAGCTGAGGTGACCTGAAGTCTTACATGATGCCATTTACTTACTTTTTTAGCATTCCATAATTCATTATTTGCAAATATGCATCTTTAAATAGGATCCATCAGGACCCTTTTGTTTGATATCCACTCATGGACAAACCATCATCTACACAAATCTTCCAAGTGCCTGTTTCTGATGAATGTAAAACATTTTTGTATTAACTGCTGTATCTCAAGTGTTTGAATTTGCTGTCCACAACTGTGACTAAAAGGGCAAAGCCTAATATCAAATAGGGCATTCGAGAAACCTCTTATTCCTGAATGAACTCGGTGCTATCAATAGACTGGAGCCCATACATTTTTATATGAAGTCGTTTGTGGTGCAGGTTGTACTTACTATACAACAGGACTGTCAGCAGTATAGATTACTCATAAATCCAAAATCAACTATATGAAAAAAATACATATTTATTTTAAATCCAAATTTTGTGCCTTAACTAATATTGCCTTTTTATGACGTGCTTCTTAGAATTTTTATTCCGTTTTTAAAATAAACATTTATTTGATCTGTTGTGACTTGTCTCATTTAGTTTTAACACATACGGGAGGAATGTACCCATGCCACTTTCATCTTCTTTCCCGTGATTAACAGATTAGAGATCTAAGAAAACAAGACAGTCAAGTCTGAATATAAAATCTTGTTTATTGTAGAAGCACAAACAGTACAGGCAAAATATAAGTACGCATAAGACTGGGGCACAACCCTCTGGTTGATGTACGCAAGCAAGATTCCAGAGATTTCTCAATCATGTTCATGATCATGTTTAGGGACAGTGCAGGAAATGGAAAGGACTTTGCCAGGTCTTTGCAACTTTTTCAGGGGCTATGGTCTGTGCTACTGGATGGCTATAAAAGAGGATCTGTGACGTAACTTCCACAAAGATATCAAGATTCTCAAAGAAGGATTTTTAAACTGGTCTAAGTCAACAGTCTTCCATCTACACTGTGCGATACTAGGTGATCCATATTAATAGAAGCACCCACAGAGAGTGTAATAGACCATTATTCTTACAACACTTGCACAACCGTGGTATATCAGCCTTTTACTAACACATACTCTGCAAGCCTGGTAAGATGGTTCTGTCTAATACATTGTTTTGTTTTTTTGATGCGTCACTCTTGTTTCTTCTTCGTGAAAAATAGTTTTTATTACATCAGAGCTCTGTACACATAATGAATGTTAGAATCAGGGAATCAATTCTGTTGTGGTACGGTAAATTACTTTGGTCTTACCTGATTAATTTTGGGGAAAAATATGGCCTGGATATAGAATGACTTAAGAAATACAGTCTTATATGGCATCTGAAAATATTATTCATATAGACACACCTATGGGAGAACTTTTTTCTTTGATGCCTCTATTAGTTCTGATCAAAAAGAAAGGGCACGGTTTAACTTTTATTAGATCAGCAACAAAGCTGTACAGACTAAATAATATTCACCTTAATTTTGCCAAAGAATGGCCACTGAAATATTTGGAATCATATTCTTCAACATCTGTTTGAATGGTGAATACTTATATCAACATCAGATTTTGGTGAATACTTATATCAACATCAGCTCTTCAATCTGAGTTTTAGACCTGACAAATTTCAGTGCATTCTATGTAGAAACAGTGCTTTTTGTTTTTGTCAGGTTAACTAGAGCTAATCTTACACAAACATAAAATGCAATGAGTGTATTGAAACCATGTTTTAAACATGGGAACAACCCTACTGCAGCACTCAACTGTATGCAACTAACTTCACGCCGTTGCCAAATAAGCGCCGACAGATGAACTAAAGACTAAAAACAATTTAGTCACTAATACTAGAATAAAAAAACTTTACAATGTTTAAAATTAAAATTCACCTGTTTTGTAAAAAAAACATTCTACTCATTAAAATAAAAATATATTAGAGTGCAGTTTGCAAAATATTTCATTTCACTAAACATATAATAGAATGTATTCGCATTGATAAAAGAACAGAAGGCCATGCTCTAATGAGCCATAAACTCAGCAGCATCTGAATCATGTCTGTCTGTACACCGTAAAGTCTCTTTCTGTTACACACGGTTTAATTTTGCATCTTTGAGTCACCACAGCTGCCTGAAACCAAACCACCTGTACCAAAGCAGTATAAAATATCTGTTTTGAACATTCAGGAAAGTCATGTAAAACCTTCAGTGTGTTTAGCAGTGGGCTCTTGGACTTTCTCCTGTATTCTTTGCTTCCTTCAAACGACTAGAAAGATGGTAAAAAATAAAAACATCCACCATACCTTCATGTCCAAAACAAAGAAACATGAAGAAAACACACTTGGTATATTCCTTTGGTCTTTAGACAATGATTATTTTGTTAGACGTGCAAATAACACAGATTTCCAATTTTCAAATCCTTTACCTATAAACCGTGTTGTACTATATATGGCATATTTATCTATAGACAAAAATCTTTTAAAAGGAACTGAAGAAAGATTCCCATTACATATAACTTTTTTAATGAACAGAATGCGGAAAAGTTCATTGCCTCTATGGTATGCTGGTGTAAGATATTTCAGGAGGACTGTAACTTGTCAAAGAAACAAGAAACTAGTTTACCTTGGCTTCAGACTGCAAATTTAGCTCACACTCAGATAATGTTGTCCCAGTTCTTTTCTTTTAGAAAACTGAAAATAAATGAGCAATGGTAGTCCTTTCCCTCACCCAGTCCCACTGGACTCCTTTCCCAGGATGTGCTGCTGTGGAGTACAGTGCCTACACAGGCACAGGCCAGTCTCATCACTGTTGATCCTCAGTCTAAGGCAGCATGCATCAGAACGCTCTGTACTCCCGCACTTTTGGACTTCTTCATCTTTTCTATTGCCTTTTGGAGGTCTTGCTGGTGGATAGGTCGGATAAACTCCTCTTCTTGACTACAAAAAAACCCCAAAAGAACCCAGCATGTTAACCGGACTTTAATTTAAGTTCATGTTATGGTAAATGGATGACATTTATATATGCACAAGAAACCTTTCATAAAGCTAAACAAAATGACAGGGTGGCTAAACAACAAATGCCAATGTTTAGCTCAAGCAGATCTTAAAGATATTACCAGTTTAAAAATTTCACCCTTAGTGAAATGAAAAACAAAGATGGGGAGTTTTATGCTTTTCTTTCACTGCTGCCCTATCTGCTGGGGCCTGAAACCATAGCAGGGTATAGCACCGTACCTGTCATTAACAGTGCTGCTGTGAACAAAGTCTCTCACACACAACAGGGCCGCATCCCTGCACATCTCTCGAAGGTCACTTCCCGAGAACCCATCAGTGTCCTTCGCAACTTCCCGCAGGTCAACAACAGCATCCACCTACAAGAGAACCAAGCCTTCTTTAAAAACACACAGTGGCCTGACTCACAGATAAAAGAGTCCCCTCCCCTGTGGTATATAAATTGCTCTGACATCAAGTTAAACCAAAACCAACAGAAAACTGGGAGCTTCCTGCCTCTAAGCAACAGCTCTGAAGCAGTTTTGATATAAAGAACAAGCACTTACGTTTTCATTTTCCAAAATGAGTTTCAGGATTTCCTCCCTTTGTCGGAAGTTCTGAAAAGAACATTAGAGAGCTTGAAATGGTTGTAGTACACTTGGTCCTCTTACAATTGAGCAAATTTGTCAAAAGATTCTGAGAGCTCTGAGAACCTGTTGAAGTCTACTCACTTAGTCTAAGAACTGTATCCCCTAAACACAGGCAAAATGTTTTAAACTTTTTACCAGTCAGGAACGATAAACCAATATTTAGGTATGTACATCTACTGAACATTTAAATATGCCAATAACTCTCTATTTCCTTTAATAAGAAAGACTGAGAGCCACTAAACCAAGGGTTTCAAACACTGTTCCAGGAGGACATTCAATAAAGTCTGCTATTTGGAATAGCTAATTAACTAACAAAGAACTTTCTGAATTATCCACACAAGATTGTTCCTAAGGTCTTCTACAGATCATTACACAAGACTTTTGCTTTATTAAAAGTGGTTACCTTGAAACCACCACTATGTCTGGTTAAAAGTATGATAATTATGCAACTAACTAATTAATGCCCCACCAGAATAATGAATTCCCCTGGTGTACTAGGAACAACAACATCATGTAGCAGAATGGGTATAATTGGATAATGTGTCTAGTAATGTCATGCTGTAATCATTATAATGCTACACAAAGCAAAGTCACATTTGTCATTAATATGAAAAAGAAAGAAAGTCTCCAATCTGTAAACCCTTATGTTACTTGGGGTTTATTTTTCCTCCATCAGGGGTTGGAATAAATCTGGAGCACTGTAACTGAGAACATGTCTGGAACAAAACCCAATGCACTGAACCAAACTACTACCTACAGCCCTGCAGTAAACCGTGATCTACAGGGAAGAAAGCCCTAGACTTGCATCCCCACTCCACTCACTGGCTGATTGATGTGAAATCTTGTGGGCATCCTCCTCAGTATAGCAGAATCCAGATCCTGAGGCCGATTGGTGGCTCCCATTACCATGACCTATAAAGTAGAACAAAATAAATATTTCTAAACTGTGTCATCATTCTACCTTAAAGACATCCCAAACACTGAGCAGGTACATACACTGAAATATCTGGTAAAGATTCAGACCTACATAAAATGTAAGGCTAATCATCTTCTTTATTGCTGGCCATACAGTTCTCTGTATGTGGTTATTTAAAATTAAGCTCTCCAAAGTTAAAAAAAATACAATTAGAAACACTGGTTTAAACAAAAGTTTTCAGCCACATGTATCAAGTATCTGATGGACTCATCTCCCATTTGGCATTATGCAAAATTTCAATCTGGCAAAACAGGCAGAATGGAGTCCTGGTTCCCCACCAGAGACAGAGACCAGAGAAAATTAAGCCTTACTGTCCCAGAAGAAGGCTAATTAGCATGTCATTTGAACAAAAAACTATTCTTTTTCATTAAAAGTCAGATCAGTTATTACTAAACCAGTTTCTCCAGTGCAGGAACTCCAATAGCATAAATTCTCTACGACCCCAGCACTGGAGTGAGCCCAGGCAACAGAATTCACTTCAGTGCTGGAGGAGTAGAGAATCTATGTTAATGAGAATCTGCCAATCATAGCGGCACATGGAAGGATTTCGTTTAGAAACTGTCCAAAGAATCCACCTGGCAGTGGAAATCTGTGTCTAGCCCATCCCAGAGACTCATGAACTGCGCTTTCATCATGGCTGTGGCCTCATGATCCGAACTGGAACGGCTCCTCAGGAAGGAATCTGGGAGAGAGGTCAAAGATGCAGTATTTCAAAAGCAGATGCTCATTGTCCTGCGCCATGTTATCTAACGGACGCAGACCTGTTAAATCAATAAAGTGTGCCGTGTTATGAAGCTGAAGTGAAGTGGGGTTCAATTTGCCTGCAGAGCGTAACTGGAAATGAATTTAAACAATATCAGTTTTGTTTGTTACAGTAATTATCTGATGTTTTATCAGACCAAAGCAAAACAGCTTCCTTTTGATACCAAAAAAAAAAACTTTGAAAACCAGTGACTGCTGTAGTTATCACACTTACAGTCATGGAATCAGTCCAGCATTAACCAACAAGACGATGTAATATAATACACAAAAACAAAGAAAGGAAATCTAAAACAAAAAGGCTACTAGGATTTTGTTTTAAAGATTGTGTCCAGCCTCATCCACTGACGTCAGACATCATGGAACCTGGCAACCAGAACAAAATCAACTACTTCCTTGAGTGCTCCACATGAGACCTGTAACCTGGTGTCTTACAGGTTGAAGCGAGGTCACCTTGTACCTATTAAATACACCAGTTCATGGTGTTTAGAGTGTTCAGTATATTCAATTGAACCTCTTGTTCAGGTTTAAACAGAATACAACACGCCATCTACTGAACAGCCTTTGGCAGCGTAAGGGGCAAAGTTATTTTTTGCCTCAAAGAAAATAAGAATGCGTACAAGATCACAGTAAATTGTGACGGCCAAACCTTAACTTCTGATTTCTTAATTAAAGAAACACGACAAGAACAAGTATCGCTTACCAATCTCATCAATAAAGATGATGGAAGGCTGGAGCTTCACTGCCAGGGAGAAAACAGCAGCGGCAAGTTTCTGGGACTCTCCATACCACTTGTCAGTGAGAGTGGAGGGCTGCAGATTTATGAAGCGAAAGCCTGCCTCCTTGGCTGTGGCTTTAGCAATCAGTGTCTTGCCACAGCCTGGAGGGCCATACAGCAGCACACCTGGAGAACAACCCAAGGAGGGAGAGAAATGAAGGCAAGACAAAACCACACTGTAAAATAAGAGACTTTGCAGTCTTACGTGCCAAACAAAAATGACTCACAACCAACAAACAATATGCTACCGTAAACACGCATCACACAACAAAAGATGAAACACGTAAGATCTTCTAACTATCCTCTTCCCACCTTTTGGGGGCTGTAGTAACCTTGATCCCTCAAATAAGTGCCTCTTCTGGATGGGAAGTATAACTGTATCTTTCAGTTCAGTGATGACATCATCCAAGCCAGCTATGTCATTCCAAGTGATCTGAAAACAGATGATTATTTAAGTGATGACCAACAACCCTTCTGTTCAAATACCTGATGAGATAAGAGGGATATTATTACTTACACTAATAAAACCCTGCCATTGCATCTGATTAAACCTGATATGACAATAATGTTTTTTCCTTATTATTATAAAGAAATAGTAAAAACAGTGATCTTCTGAAGGGGGATCTGTGCTCCTCACTACTTCTCACTTTTACAGTTGTTTCTTTGCAAAGTACTGCAGAGCATGTGGCCACAAACACTTCAAAGATAGATCTTCAAATAAGGCAGCTGCGTCAGCATTCGTAAGCTGCAATGGAACAAGTAAAGGTTTATTTCATGCTGAAAAGAAAAGAGACAACATTTCAGCTCTGGAGCCTTCACCTTTGCACCTTTTCAGCAGGGAATAAACCTTTACTTGTTCCAATTCAAACAAACCCTTTTGCACACAATAATGTGTTAACCTACTGCACTGCATATTGACAGTTGTATATAATCAACTTTAAACACCTTAACTTATAGTAAAGTGCGTAGGGATTATTACAGGGAAAAATGGCACATTGCAGTCATCATTTCTAACTCAGTTTAGAATAAAACGCAGGAAGAATAAATACATATGTATAAGCTACATACTTTATTTCCTACTTGTACTTATATATATACACAGAAAATGGTTCTATAAACGTTGTGCAAAAACCCATAGCAAGAGGTACATGGATTAACTCGAAACACTAAGGTGGCCCCTTCCTTTGAATAAGGTAGTAAACTCCTGCTTTACAGCACTGCCCACTGCCAACTCTGTCCAGCAGCCATCTTGAGTAACAGAGCAATACCAAAATCATCCACAAAGAGGCAACAATTAACAAATCTCACCACATAAATCTTCTGCTGTGCTGAATGTGTGTTTAAGTACATAAACATGCCAGCCACGAGAGTGGCAAAATGTTAAAAAAAAAACAAGTACAATGATGCCAAACTCCTTAGGACAATTTGTTATATCAGAAATGTGCCTGAATATATTCTATAGGGCTTATTCCACTCATGAATTCTCCCAAGAAGATCTGACTCTTGCAGAGATTTCTACAGTTATATATTGATCTGCAAATCTTCACAAAACAGACATCTCGTCCCTCTTACACTTCTACAAAGATCACATTATATAAAATCAAGGGGAAAGCAATCAATGTCATGAGGTTCTGAGACAGTTTTACTTAGCAAAAAAAATAATTCATAGATGGGGATTATTAGGAGGCCATGACTGGTAACACCCCTCTCGTCTCAAGAAACACCCTTTTTTAAGTTTTTTAATGATAACAGAGAACCAGGACATCGGTTTTATATCTAATCCGAAGGATGGTGCCCTTTTTACAGCATATTGTCCCTGTACACTATACTGTGGCATCAGGACTCACAAAGACCTGATGGTGAGCGCCCTCTACTGGCCCCACTAACACCTCTTCCAGCAGCAACACAACCATCCCGGTACTGACCATGGTCACAGGTGCTTAGCTTCGGTGGGCTGCCAGTTGGGAGCTGCAAGGTGATATAGCTGTTGGAGAGGACCTACCTGTTGAGACTGAAACGTTTGAAGCTTAAAGGGAGTTTTCCCAGATAACATCTTGCTCAATTCATACAGTCACTCACCTGCATACTCAATGGGTCAACCAAATGAGCAGCAATGCTCATTTCGTATTCTGAAAGTTTCACATTCTTCACACCAATCTGTTTCATGAGCTTTTCTGCCTGCAAGAGCAAAAGACAGGCCAACAATAGAATCAGGAGTTTCGGTTTGTTAGGGAAATTGGTTTTAATGATTACACAAGGTGGATAAGACAGCTATAGTAATTTACCATTCTTTCTGCCACTCCCTTCTGCAGTTTCGTTCTAGTGACAGAAAAAGCCTTACCCGACAGTTCTATTAAACCAGCAATGTCCAGCACATGAGGAACGACCAGGGTTCTTAAGCTTGGACTGAGTAGGAATTCTGCCTGCACAAATAATTATGTTACTTACAGTTTTTGGAAGTATTAATTCTACTGGATATGTAGCTACTCTTGGAACAGAATATGCTCAAATTAAAATAAAAACCAGCTAGTGTACTGCTCTGCTCTGTCACTCATTCTTGTACTTTATCATCATACCTGCTTCTGTGCTTCAACTTTCTGCTTCCTTGTAGGATCAATTGCATCTACCATCCATTTGATGGTAAAGTAGGTCACCGTACCAAATATTGTCAGGCGGAAAAGCAAGCCGATTACTTCATTGCGGCCCAGAGGCCGGGTTAAATTCTCAGCTGGAATCTCTTTCAACACCATTGTCTTCTGCAGACCTGCTGAGAGAACAGAAAAATAAAATGTTATATCTGTCTCAAACCAAATTCCAAATTAAGTCACTGATTCTGACCCACAAAACAGGGCAACACTGATCAAACAAAAACAGCACAATACTGTCTGACCTGTAGCGATTAGATGTCTTCTTTTAAACAATTTCACTTGCATGAGAAAAATGATACAATATTTCCTTCAAGGCTAAATTTGCCGTTTTTAAAACCTGAACTGATTTTACCAAGTAACTATTTCTGTATTTACTCTCTACTATGCTTGCATGAAGCAAATTACTCATAAGCCTCAAAGGCTTTTATCGAGAAAGTCAGCCCAGCAGCCTTCTTCAAAATGAACTAACACAAACCAGAGGATACAAGTGATGATGACACAGAAGTGTATTTAAATGTGCAAAAAAGGCCATCTTTATCCACTTCTTTATCCAAAGAAGAAAATGAAATTACCCAAAAGAATGCATGAATATGAAACAAGCTACCAAACCATGTGGCTGTAGTTGATACTTAAGCTTCAGTCAAAAAAAAAGCTAAATGAGATACTTGGCTCAATTAACTACTAACTACCAAAAGGGCAAGATGGGCTGAATGGCCTCCTCTCCTTTGTATCCTGTCTTATGTTTTAAATAAAAATATTGCAGACAGATATACTAAGAATTAGACATGTGGCTCCTTGTGCTCTCACCTTCTGAGGGCTGGAGCAGCTGTCTTACTTAACCCTCTCTTTTCAAGAGACTAGCTTTCCTGCTTACATAAGGCTCCTCTGGGCCTGCACACATCTGAGCCAACAAACTCTAAACACCTTTGCATTTTACAAAGCCAGTCAAGTAAATTACACTTAACACTTGTCACAAGGTAAATCATTAATTTAAAAATGACATTAATATTCGTTGAACCCAGCAGAATCGCTGTACTGCTTATCAGAATGATTACTCTTCCTGCGTTTTTTCGATTTCTGTTGAAGGTCTGTCTCCGGTCTTGACAGCACAAGGAAAGAAGGCTTTATCAGTTAATATGTACTGATTGGACTGTAATAATATAGAGGTATTCTCTGGAGTACTGTGGTGGGAAACACGGCGAAGGGTGTTATTTGGCACCACAGCTTTATAACAAATAAAAAGTGCACTTTAAAGATCTTGGACGACTTGAGCTGCTAAGGCTAAAGCACTTCAAATACACCAAAGGAACTAGGCCGCCGGCTGCACAAACCTACAATTCTATTTTTATTTTCAATAAAAAAGATCATACAATTTCCAAATGGTGCCCATCTAGAAGAAATACTATATATATATAGATTCTGGAACTGACAGAATATAAAAATGATCTATGCTTTTCTTCCCAAATTGCATAAAAATAATAAATAAGGCAATCTACAAAAAACTAATCGGAGCCATTACTGTTAAAATGGATATTCCGATTGCGTTAACAAAATTTCACTTACTATAAAACACTTTTTTTCTAAGATGAAAACCTTACACTTTAATTTATCACTACCACGGCCTGACTTAAACCTTTTACTTTGAGACACGACCTTCTCGTCTTTTTCATCCAGAAGAAGCACGAAAAAAGTGAATTACTTAATGTCTTCAGTGTTATTTGTAAAAGAAAATATGCAATCGTAATTTTAACGAATTTAATGGCACGGAAATTGTAGTATTGTTAAATAACATACTCACCTCCACGTTACTCTATATCACCTCATCCACTCTTCCAGATCCAGGAAGTGAAAATAAAAGACACACTCCATGAGAATGGTGTCACAGCAGTTACTGCTCTGACGGAACCTATGAGCTGTTTTAAAACGTTCCTCTATGTATCAGTACCTTACGCTGTTAGTCGATTTCAGGCACGAGTTAACTTAAACATCTCACATCTTTGGCTGAATCTTGGATCTTGGATCTGTCATTTTCGTCTTATAGTTTAAACAATCACGCGGTGATGTAGAAGTACAGCTGCGGTTCTTTCAACCCTGTGATGGGACGAGAGTTCAAACCGAAGACTCCCACGATAGCAGATTAATCCGCAAGGGGGTAGTAATATCACAACGTGTCCGTTTGAGAGAGCTGAAGCGCTTAAATCAGACTGTTTAAAGTATAAATTATACTATAATTATTTACGTCACCTGTAGATCTGAAGTTCAAATACGAAACCCACCTCTCCTCAATTCACTTACATTTTGTAAAGAACATAAGAAACAGGTGACGTTTTAATCTCGACGATATTTAAATTTAGAATTGCACTAACTTCAAAAATGTGTTGCCCATGTTACGCCACTGACTGTCAGTACAGGCGTACAGTATATGCGTGGAGTGTGCCGAAATAAAGTCTGAGCTCTTCAAACTCTACTGGTCACAGGTTTTAAAAATCAGGAAAATCTATAATTAGAGCATAGCATTCATATACAGTAGATATATTCATACATATTATGCACATACAGTACATTAATATACAGACACCTATAGAAGGCTCCACAGCCAAAACGGTGTCTCTTTTCTTTTCAGCACGGAATAAACCTTTACTTGTTCCTTCATATACAGCATATGTGCATTCATACACATACAGTACATGATACAACAATATGATACAGTTATTTACGTTTTGTAAATATAAATATAAAATCTGTACTATTTTACTTTATACTGTATAATATATAGCAATATAGTGTATATACTACATATGACAATTCAGTTTTGATCTATCAGATTATTTAATTTTATATTGTACACCACACATTCTTGAAGAAAGAAAATCAAAGTATGATTATCTGAACATTTGCATAAGTGAGTTAGATGTTGTACATATACAATATAATTTTTTATGATCATCTTTTTTTATGTTCCTGCTGTAGTGTTGACATATCTTTTCTGAACCTGCTAATCACATGGAAACCAGTCAATGTATTTAAGCAGAAAAGTCACATTATGGCATAATTGCTCACCAACAAAAAAATAACCTGTGTGTTCTGAGCTTGGGCAGCACTGCGACATGGTTGGTGAACTTTTTCTTCTTCACAGCTGTTGCGGTTCTGGGTTTGATTCCGCCTTCTGTGTGGAGTTTGCATGTTCTGCCTTCTGCAAGAGCAACTGTTCTCCTGCCATTTCCCCCAAAACATGCTGATAGTGGTTAACTCTAAGTCATTCTTGTGTGTGCCCTGCAGTGGGCTGGTCAGGGTATGGTCCTGCCTTGTGATCTCTGCTACCAGCTTCTGCTAAAGGTTGCCACAGCCCTTACCACGTACAAGTCCATGTATGATGAGGGAACTTCTCAATGGCATTTCCTTTAATTGTTTACTACACAGAAGAAAAGTCCAGACAATTTCATGCAAACTGTTAATATTTTAAGATAACTGACAAGTATTCATAAATAGAAATAGTTTTATATAATATGATGCATGTAAACCACTTTTAAAGCCAGGTGTTAAAGGTTTTACAAAGTTCAAATCAATAAAGTGACAATAAAGAGATTTCATGTCAGAGACATAATTCACTAAATGCAATGCCTTCTCAGTCCCCAAAGCAGCTGATAGGAATGATAGGAAGGCCTTATAGTATAAAAATATTTCCAATAAGCTTTCCTGAGGATCAGTTCATCTGAGCCATGGTGTTCCAGGTAATCCCATTTAAATACACTAATTGTACTTTGAGTATTAACTAGGCACTGAAATGATAATTACAGAGGAAAACAGCCACTGTATAATCTGTATTAGATTTTTTTACAAATAAAGTTGAAAGAAAAATGCAAATGCTAACATGAGTTTCCTTTTCTTTGCTAATCAGAGATTTAAAGAAATCCAATAAATTTAGTCAAAACAGTAAATCTTCCCATTTTGACCATGCCAATACCAAACCACGCAATTCCCTATTAGGGGTCGGTAATGATTAATGATAAAATTTCAACATTTGTTCCACTGGGACTCAACAACTACTGTATCTCTCAGTCTGGTTATTTTTCAAACTACTGATATGGCTTATATTCAGCTTTTCCTAAATAAGATGAAGAGCCAATCTAAAAATATAGTCTGAAAAGCTTTGCATCTAAATCTTAGATCATTCTGTTTCTCTTTTAGGGTTTGAATATAGTTTCTTCTAAGAGCTGAGAGAGCACAGAAAATACTTAACAGCAGCTGTTCACAAAATGCACTGAGATTGACCTGCATTTAATACAGATAAAAGTTCTGATGGTTTTGATCTTATTAGATAACATTAAAATAATTTTTGCTGCTTAATACAGAAGTGTCAAATATGACCTTCAATTAGAACTGTTCTTGTACCATGGCTAATAACCTTCAATTAAGTGGCCTATGGTGGCTATGAAAATAATAGAGAAGATCTTGACATGTCTAGACATGAACAGGTGAGCTGTAGTATTGCCTTAGTCAGTCATAGCTGTCTCAGATGATTTACCGAACATGCAAAAAAAGAAATGTTATAGTATCAACCTTACACATATATATGTTAAGATCCCTATGAATTGCGTCTATATGCAAAACATGTTTTGTGTCCTCTATGGAAAACATTTTGTCCTTCATGGTTTCTTGTGGATTTTTGACACGATTTTCATACCTTTGGATATCCCTCTGGCAAAGCCTGGAACACGCTGTTGAAGCCAATAACCTGACTTCATTCAAAAATGTCTGGCTGAGACCTCTGGATTGTCTACTATCAAATGGGCTTGATGGGTTGAATGACCTTGTCTTGTTTGGGTTTTTTTTAGGTTCATCAATGAGGTCTACATTCCCATAATGCATATTAGAGAATTATGAAGATGTACAAATCTCTTTCCACTTTATTTGGTGATTTGTCTGTACGCTTGATTTGCAAAACCTAAAACAAGTATTTGAAAAACAAGTTTCTCTGTGCTCCTTTCCATGTAATTAGGACTTCTGAATTTCCTCAGACGGGAAACTCAGAAAGAACATACCAGCTGAGCAAGTAAAACAATGTCCTTGATAATTCAGAAAGCTCTTCTATCAGCAGGGTTTTCCAACTTTTTTGCCTACCTGCATGGCTTTCACAAGGTCAGGGTGTTTCCTGTGTATTAGTGAATTGGTATTCCATTTATATACAGTATCATTTTTTTTTCAGATCTCAGCTACATTTGATAAAGGTCTTTTAGGTAGTACTGGAAATCAATTTAAATGCTGTGAGTTACATTCTTGAATGGCAGTTTTTGAGAATCATTGTTTTTTATTTTAAAGTTATAACGTCACATGGATTTGTGTTAGCCTACAAATACTCCCATCTCACTATGAGAGCAAAAATGAGTTATCAGCTTGTAAACACAGTTTTTGTTCCAGAAAAGCCAAGGTGGGAATATGAAAAATGAATTTCTCACATCAAAAAAAAATGATATAGCAATTTATTGCCATATAGTAGTGCAAGCACTTCCATAGGTTAAAAGAATTTAGCAACTGATAATGATCAGTCTCTAGATAAAAATATCAGTTTATTTACATTTATTTTAAACGTGCTTATACACAAGCAGTTTAAGTTTAAATAAATTGTAGAATGGTTGCATTTTGATTTGTTTTATAAATTCTCTCAGTTTGTTTGCAATAACTAATTCTCAACAAAAAAGGATTGTTTAAGTCCAACTGGTATAAAAGTGATAAATAAACATTACTGAACAATTGGATTAAACTTTTCTGACATTAATGTTTGCATGTTTAGTTGTTGTCTGCATGATTCCCATAATGTAACCCCTTATATTTGATATATTTGACATATAAAGTATTCCCATCCTAACACTAACCCCAAGCAACACAAACCTTAAACTTGCATTTATAAGTTATTGTAACCAAGGAACATGGAGTAATGGTGTTTTCACTTCAAATAATAAATACTGTAGGCGAATGCAGATCTAAAACATTTACTGGTTTATTTATGTTTTCTTTCTCTAGCTATAAAAAATAACAATACAATGCCAAAAGAAACAATTGAAAACAAATCTAAAAATTAAGCCAAAGTCTCTTCAACCACAGTAAGGACCTTAACATATTTTATTTGTGCTCTTAACAGGTGCTGGGACTAGCGTTTTAGACATGTTTAGCTAACAACGTCAAGAGATAACGTTCCCACATCGCTTTAAAGTCTTTAACACGTCAAACCAGTGAGATTCTTGACCCCGTCAAACTCCAGGACAGGAAAAAGCAGCCGGTCTTGTTTCAACGTGTCATTCCCGTATAACCTGAAAGGTGGCGCCATGGCATAAGTCTTTACCCCTATGTCGTTCACTAGAACGTTCTACAAAAAATAAAACCCAAATAACGAGTATGTGCTTTAAAAGCACATCTCTTGGACCTCGGACTGTAGATGTATAGGTTCATGTCTCTATTTTATTTTTTGGACTTATATCTATTATATGCTGGAAGACAGTGCCACAGATGACTGTGTGTGCTACTAAGTGACACGCCTGGCTTGGACTGGTTTACTTGATCTGATTTTACTTTTCTTGCTTGCGTAAGCACTTTACAAGTTGTACTGGGTGTCACTGCTAGCTAAGTTATCTGTGATTTTTTTTTTCATTGATGCCATTTATTTTCGTTATTATGTAATGTTTTTGTTCCTCGCTCACACAGAACACTTCGCAGACGCTTGTAATAATTATCTCTGATAGACTTCAGAAACAATTGGGCGTTTTTACGTATGTCAGCAAATCCCTGGCCTCCTAATTGTAAAAAAAGAACCTCAATTATTAGCGCGAAGCAAAGAAATAAAATATTGGAAACTTCCCCAATTACCAGCACACGTGACCTGCCCTTGGCAGAGAGGAGAGTTTCCCTGCGGTGTGCCTGTGTGTCCTTCCGCCCTCACTGTAGCCGCTAGTAGTATGTCAACGAGGCGCACTACGTCGGGTTTAAATGCGAAATATTTATTTTCGGGACACATTTTTCCGTTGCCGGTTTCTCTGTTGCGTGATCGGGACACCTGCGATTAAAGCGGTGGTAAAATCACAGCCACAGCAGGACTATTTGTGCACGGCGGCAGGATATATGGTGTAACC